AGCGTCAGAAGCAGCTTGTGGGCGAGATGGAGCGTGCGCGTACGAAAGAAGCGCGCACGGACCTCGAGCGTGCACACAGTACCCACTGCATTCATGTAAGTGACGTCGCGTTTGCACCTAGGGTTTCGATATGCTGTTGCATATGTTATGCAATGATGTTGGTGTGATGGCTGGGATTCTGACAGGTAATTTATCACAACCCATCCGTTTGTATTTGTGCAGAGCGCATTGTGGGGACAACGATTTGCTGATATGGATTTTGCCAATCCTTATCGGCAAATCACATCCGACTTCATGCACATGTCGCTGCTGGGTGTGTACAAGCACATCTTAGAAGGTCTCAAGTCAAAGCTCAGTACAGAGAAGCTCCAAAAACTGGATGCCGCGCTCAAGACCATCACCCAGTATAGCAGACAGTCTTTCTTTCGACTACCGGCGCACTCCGACGGATACTTCAGTGGGAATGGCACTTTCAAGGCCTTCCATCATCAGGCAGTCATGCAAGTGCTACCAGTGCTCTTGTTGATGGTCAAGGTGGATGACAAAACGATCCGAGCAGTGGAGTTGTTCTGCCACTGGCATTCCGAGGCGTGGCATCGGACGCACCACGATGACGACTCGTTGGAGAACCTCGACAACCTCACACGCACGTGAGTAAAAGTGTTTGTGATTGCTTGTCGTCCGTACTTGCCGCTGTATGGTTGTTCGGTTGCATCCTTAAATGTTTTCCTGTATAGTAATGTATCACTGATCACCGTTTACGTTCATATACGTGCAGGTTGGTACCGATGCTCATGACGGAGTTCGAGGCGGACCAGAAGTCGCACTTCAACGTCCCCAAGATACACGCGATGCTGCATGTTACCGACGACATCAGGCGGCGAGGCATCCCAATTCACTACTGCACGGATGTATATGAGCATGTGCACATCGCCATAATGAAGCGGCCGTACCGCGCGTCGAACAAGAGGAACGCCGAGGCAGCGATCACTCGACGCTGCCTCATTTCCGAGCTAATCGAGAAGATGACCGCGTCCATCGAGGAGGCCAGCGACAATCAAGCACGATGCGTTGCTCTGCAACAGGTTCGTGCATTGGGGTGTGTGTGTGGGAGTGTGTGTATTTGTGGGTGTGTGCGACTGTGCGTAAGTGTATGTGTGAATGTGTATGTGTGTGTGTGCACGAGTGTGCGCGTGTGTAGGGTGTGTGTGTGTGTAAGTGTGCGTGTGTGTATGTGGGTGTGTGTGTACGAGTGTGTGCGAGTGCGAGCGTGTGTGTGTGTTTGTGTGTGTGTGTGTGTGTGCGAGTGTGCGGGTGGGGATGTGTGTGTAGGAATGTGTGTATTTGTACGTGTGTGCGAGTGTGCGTGAGTGTATGTGTGCGAGTGTGCGGGTGGGGGTGTGTGTGGGGGGGTGTGTATGTGTGAATGTGTATGAGAGTGTGTGTGTGCGAGTGTGTATGTGGGGGTGTGTGTGTACGTGCAAGTGTGTGTGTGGGAGTGTGTGTGTGGGAGTGTGTGTATGTGTGTGTGTGTGTGTGGGAGTGTGTGTGTGCGAGTGTGTATGTGGGGGTGTGTGTGTATGTGCGAGTGTGTGTGTGGGAGTGTGTATGTGGGAGTGTGTGTATGTATGTGTATGTGTGGGAGTGTGTGTGTGCAAGTGTGTGTGCGTGTGCGAGTGTGTGTGTGTGTGAATGTGTGTGTGTGTGTATGTACAAGTGTATGTGTGTATGAGGGTGTGCGAGTGTGTGTGTGTGTGCGAGTGCGAGCGTGTGTGTATGTGTGTGTACGAATGCGAGTGTATGTGTGTGTATGTGTGCGAGTGCGAGTGTGTGTGTGTGTATGTGTGCGAGTGTGCAGGTGGGGGTGTGTGTGGGGGGGTGTGTATGTGTGAATGTGTATGAGAGTGTGTGTGCGACCGTGTATATGGGGGTGTGTGTGTACGTGCAAATATGTGTGTGTGAGTGTGTGTGTGGGAGTGTGTGTATGTGTGTATGTGTGTGGGAGTGAGTGTGTGCAAATATGTGTGTGTGTGTGTGCAAGTGTGTGTGTACGTGTGTGTGTATGTGTATGCGAGTGTGTGTGTGTATGTGCAAGTGTGTGTGTTTATGAGTGTGTGCGAGAGTGTGTATGTGTGCGAGTGGAAGCGTGCGTGTATGTGTGTGTGCGAATGCGAGTGTGTGTGTGTATGTGTATGTGTGCGAGTGTGTGTGTGTGTGTGTGTGCGCGTGTGTGTGTGTGGGAGTGTATGCGTGCGAGTGTGTGTGTGTGCATATGTGTGTGTGAGTGTGCGTGTGTGTATGTGTGTGTGTGTGAGAGAGAGTGTGTATGTGAGTATGTGTGTGTGTGTGTGGAGGGAGGTGTATGTGTGGGTGTGAGTGTGTGTGTTTGCACATCCGTCGAACATTACACGAGGATCTGTTTCTCTCATCACTTGAGATCTAACTCTGGTTATTGGCTTTATTTGTGTGAGCAGGCAATCGAGAGCAGACGTCCAACAGTGTCAGCATCGTCATCACGACTGGTGCTCGGGGATTCAAACGGCAAGAACTTCAAAGCGTACCGGGCGAGCGTTCCGGCCGATTTTCGACTTCTGGAGGGGACCATTAAAGCGTACCTTAATGGAGAGCATCCTGGCGAGCGTACTAAGGTGCACTACCATCGCGTGATCGAGGTGCACTCTGGTGTCGCTGTGCCGCCTGACGATGATTTCATGAGGTATAGTAGATACCCGCAGTATGCACGCGCTACACCGATGTTCTACGGGAAGCCCTGGTTTTCCGATGTCACAATCGAGGGCGAGGACGACAACAAAGTCAAGCAGATTTGGCGAGCGAAACTCCTTTGTGTGTTTACGCTGTGACGGACAGTGGAGACGGTTGATGTTTCCGGCGACACAACGGAAGAGCAGATCACGGAGCAACTCGCATTCTGCCGTTATTACAGTGAGACCGCACAGTCCTCGACGACTGACATGAAGTCACTAAAGTGGTGGTCATCAGGCCGTGGTTACGGGGTGCTGCCGGTTGAGAGTATATTGCGTGTGATTCATGTCGTACCCAACACAGTAGATCCGGCTCACCCCAACGCAAAATTTATCTTGAACCATTTTAGATGGTAGGTTGTATATTCTGTAAATATTGTAACTAATTCTTGGGCACAAAATAACTGTTACCTGGCTTTGCTTGAATTAGAAAGATTATATAAACTTTAGGTATAGCCATATTACACCCTATCACATTTTGGTAAAGTTGGATGCGTCTGTGTTTCTGAACGCAATGTTAGCGGTTAGTAGTATACCGAGTAGAGTTTGTGCCTCGGGCAGCTGTGCAGTATTCGGCTGCTAATTCGACTGCCAGATGCACTGGCGACAGCTCAGCGAGTAAGCCAGCTTGAACAACTGGCCAAACATCTGTGATTGTTTTTTTTTTGGCCTTTTATTTTGCACGGCGACAGCTCAGCGGGTAAGCCAGCCTGAACGACTGGCCAGACAGCTCGGCTGTTTTGTGATTTTTTCCTTTTGCCCTCTAGCATTACTGTTCTAGCAGCCAGAACAGTACAAGTATTGCTGGAGCTGTCTTCATTGGCCTTGCGAGTGTACTACCGCGGTGGATTATTCCATCGGCGGGCAGAACAACTGATTTCCCAGTCCAACACCTGCTCCACGTCACTGCTACACATTACCCTTTGCTTCGTGCAACTGCCCGCGACATGACTAAACCTGTCTGCGTGGATGATGTAAAGTTCCTGTCAGCAGAAAAATTCACCGCGTCAACACTTTGCTTGCTTCACTGTTTCAAAAGCGACAAACGAGGCAATACGAAATTCAGAGCTACACCTGCCCATACACAATTTGAGTCCTCCAGCGGGGCAAGAAGAAGTGATTCCAGCTGTGCAAGGTCGGCGAAATCCGCCGCGTTGTCACGTGATTCGAGGCAGACACGAACCCCACCTCCCCTCTGCTACCCCCATGACTCTCTGCATCTTTAGTACCCTCACACACCCTCTCTTCCCCCTCTCCCTTTCCTTCTCCTCTCAAACGACCTCGTTCCTGCTCTGCCTTCGTGTCTCATTTTGGAAATTCAAATTTCGAGTTTCAAACTCAACTTTCCTCCGCCTTGGCCGAGCTTATCCGATCGCGCCCCGTCCCGAGCCTTATCATTCACGCCCCGCTGTCACTCGTTTGGTGACCCAATGACATGACGGTATGTTTTCTATCCCGTTATAGCCTTTTTTTTTTATGTCGTCGAGCCGCTTCTGCTTGCGCTCTTTGTTATCACGGTCCCGCATATTATAAATACCTACAGAAGCGTGTTGCTGGCTACACGCTTCTGTAGGCTATTAGTCTCAAGTCTGTAACGATGGCCCGCGGCAATCCGAAAAACTTAGTCCCTCCCGCTATGATGCATTTGCAGTCCCGGCCCTCCTTGCCTCGTCTAAGCAAGGAGAACCACAAGTACCTTTCGACCAACGCTGTCTCAGGTACTTAGCGTTAGTAAAAATTAGTTTCTTGAATCGTGCTTTCGTATGTGATGTTTTTAAGTGATTTCTTTTTAGTTATTTTGTTGCAGGTGTTGCTGATGTAGCTGACGATGCAGCCGACGAAGCTCAACCCAATCGCCGGCCCACCGGGGCACGGAGTCAGCAAACTCGACGGAGCCAGATTGACAAATCCCCCCCAACAGTCACTGGTACGCGGGCGAAGGACATGGCGCTCCCTACGGCGACAAATCCCGCCCTTCACCAACAGCCTGTCGTCACCTCTGCTTCGCCCGTCGAGGCTTCTCCTGCCGGTTCACCTGAACGCACTGGTGAACGTCGTTCCCCTGCTGTAGCGACGGTGGTTGCAAACGTCGATGCAGCCGTTGCTAACAAACAAGATGCTGCTTCTGCGGGTGAGTGAATGTTTATGTGACACGCTTCATCCGTGCTTACACTCGCTAATTTTGCTGTTCTGTTGCGTCTGTTTTCGGCCCAAACAGGCAAAACTGGAGATCACCCGATGGAGTTGGCGATGACCCGGGCGATAGGGGAGGCTTATACTACCAAGGCTACGCGTTTTCGCGAGGAGGGACGGCAGCATCTGGAGGTGAATGACGAGCTTCAACTGAAGGCTGACGACCAGGAAAAGCAGAACGTGGAGCTTTGTCAGCAGCTTGAGAAGAGGGACGCGGATCTGAAGGATGCATTGGCGCTGTTGAAGCATCTGGCGGAGAAAATTGCCGATGATCAGCTCGCCAAAGTGAAGTGGCGGGTGAATATTGCCCTCTATTTTGCCGTCTGCGCTGTTGACAAACAGTCACTAATGCGATGTGATTTTTTAATTTCAGGTCCACATCAAGGAGTCGTGCGACGACTTCCTTTTCAAGCCGGATACGCTCAACCTGTCACCCGATCCTGATGCGATGCTCGCAGCTTTAATCAGCAAGTGACGGTCAGAAACTGTCGCGTTCGTTTTTCATTGTTTTTTACTTACTCGTCGTCATTCGTGTTTTGTGCAGAGAAAGCTGGTTACATCGCTGACTCCCCTCAGGGCTTGAAGCTCGCTGCCTTGCTGAAGGTCAATGGCATTTTGAAGCACGCGTGTGTGCGCTTCAACGACCGGATCGGTAAAATCTACCGATTCTGTCGCCTTTATGCTCTGAGCCTAGAACCATGCGTTTTTATGGAGAGGAAGCGGAACTTCAAGGGAGAGCTAACCCTGCAGGTGCCTGAGGACTTACTCACGAAATGTGCTGACTACGTTGAGCGTTTCGCCGACAGTAAGTCATTGAGGTTTTTTTTATCGGTTGCATTAATTGGGTTTTGGGATTAACGTGGCATGTTCTGACGTATGTTTTGGTCCGTTGCAGAGTTCTTGGGGATTCCCTGGCACGTCAACAGGAGAGGCAGTCCGTTTTCCAGCCCTGCCTTCGTTAAGTGTACTTCTCTGTGGGATTCGAGTGGCGCCTTGCCAATTGGTTTATTTCCTATTCAGCTGCTTGTCATCCTTGCAGCGGTAAGTTTAACATGAGCACTTTATTTGCCTTTCACATTGTGCAATTTAACAAGTGTTGATTGCTTTTCTTCTTCGTGCAGGTGAGGTTCAAGTTCCGCCATCCCGGCGCCACGAAGGCTCAGTTGGATCGGTCGGGGGATCCTGGTGCTCTTGCCAGGCAGGCGCGGGTTGTACAGCGCTGGATCAACAGCAGTGACGTCACTCGCACGGACGACTGCCTTGGGATCGGCAAGGTCTGCATTGTTGGTTGGAAGGAGATTCCAGAGGAGGAGCTGGTTGCAGACGAGCATGGTGACCTTGGTCTGGATGAGCTAGTGAGCGAGCCAGGCTCGCAGGAGCGGGTTTATGATGAGAATGAAGAGCAGGAGGAGCTTTACGGGTGACCTGTAGTACGTGTGGTAGCTTAGGGCTGTTTTTGTAGGTGTAGATGAGTTTGTAGCTAATGGTAGTTCTTGGATTTGTATCTATGTAAGCTTTTGACCTTTTTAGTTTATTGTCTTCTCTATTTGTTATAATGTAGCATTGTAGGCTGTACTGAATTTCTAAAAATATCGGTAATTGTTTAGTCACTATCTCTTTATTTTGCTAGTTTACTGTATCTTTACTGTACCTATTGACATTAATGATTTCGAAACTCGCTGTGTTCATCCCTCCTTAGTATCACGTTTTAAATAACGGGGAAAAAAATGTAGGATTAAATGAACGAGTCTGAAAGACTGATAACGAGTTTCCTCTTCTAAACGAGTGCGCGTCGGAATGTATTTGGACGGCCCGGCAGCCAATAGAAACAAAGTTGCAACAAATCGTCACGCGCCAGGTGTCAGATTTATATGACATAGCTACTGTAGGCTATAGTGGGGTAGCACATATGGGGTACAGTTTTCTAGGGTTTGCTTTTTGTACCCAACTTTCACTTAGTCATTTCATTCCTGTTTTTTCTTAATTCACATGGTATCAGAGCGGGTTCCTACATGGGACCGTTCCTTCCTAAGGGCCCACCATAACGAAATTTTTTTTAGCTGCCCGACGCGCATTGCGCCCCTGCCCTAATTTTTTTTTTTTTTTTAGCGCCCCCCCCCTAGCGGCCCCTACGCGACCCCTACGCGGCCCCTACGCGGCCCCTACGCGGCCCCTACCCGGCCCCTACGCGGCCTCTGACGCGGCCCCAACGCGGCCCCTGACGTGGCCCCTACGCGGCCCCTGACGCGGCCCCAACGCGGCCCCTGACGCGGCCCCAACGCGGCCCCTGACGCGGCCCCTACGCAGCCCCTGACGCGGCCCCTGCCGCGGCCCCTGACGCGGCCCCTACGCGGCCCCTACGCTGCCCCTGAGGCGGCCCCTGACGCGGCCCCTCCGCCGCCACTACCGCGGCCCCTAGGCCGCCCCTGACGCCGCCCCTGACGCGGCCCCTGACGCGGCCCCTGCCGCGGCCCCTGACGAGGCCCCTGACGCGGCCCCTGACGCGGCCCCTACGCCGCCCCTGACGCGGCCCCTGACGCGGCCCCTGACGCGGCCCCTGACGCGGCCCCTGACGCGGCCCCTGCCGCGGCCCCTGCCGCGGCCCCTGACGCGGCCCCTGACGCGGCCCCTGCCGCGGCCCCTGCCGCGGCCCCTGACGCGGCCCCTGACGCGGCCCCTTCGCCGCCCCTGCCGCGGCCCCTACGCCGCCCCTGACGCGGCCCTCTCCTGCACCTGACGCGGCCCCTAGCGGCCGGCCGCTGGCGTCCCTGAGGCAGCAGCCGCCGCCGTCTCTGCAGCAGCAGTCGCAGCCGAACGGCCGAGCCGCCGAGCCGCCCAGCAGCCGAGCCGCCCAGCCGCCGAACCGCCCAGCAGCCGAGCCGCCCAGCAGCCGAGCCACCGAGCCGCCCAGCAGCCGAGCCGCCGAGCCGCCCAGCAACCGAGCCGCCGAGCCGCCGAGCCGCCCAGCAGCCGAGCCGCCGAGCCGCCCTGCAGCCGAGCCACCCGAGCCGCCCTGTCCGGTAAGAGCAGCGCCCCTTTCACAGAACTGCCCTCACCCTACTGTTTGCGCTGCTAGTCTACTACTGTCATGGCTACCCCTAGTGTCCTCGCTTTTGACGCTGAGGGTCGGGCCATTGACTTTGATGTCTGGATAGATGACCTGCAGCTTTTCTTACAGTGCGACAGGGCAGACGGCCTCTCCCTCTTTGACCTCACTTCTGGTGCCTCTCCTGCCCCCGCTGCTGATGCTGATGCCACTGTTCGCTCACAGTGGGCCACGCGCGATGCTGCTGCACGTCTTGCTGTGCGTCGCCACCTGCCTACCTCTGAGCGTGCGCACTTTAGCCAGTACAAGAGTGCTCACACCTTGTACGACGCTGTAGTTGCGCACTACTCCTCCCCTGCCACTGCTGCACTGAGCCGCCTCATGCTACCGTACCTCTTCCCTGACCTTGCTGCCTTTCCCACAGTCGCTGACCTCATTACGCACCTCCGCACTAGTGACACTCGCTACCGCGCTGCGCTTCCTGCTGAGTTCTGCGCCAAGAACCCCCCCCCCATGTACATCACCCTCTACTACATAGTCACCCGGCTCCCTGACTCCCTTCGCGTAGTCAGGGACCACTTCCTCTCAGTTTGCCCCACCACTCTCACCGTTGACCTCCTCGAGAAGTCCCTCCTAGCAGCAGAGAAGAGCATAGTCGCTGTAGGAGCCTCTCGTGGTGACCCTCGCACCCCCATCTTTGAGGGGTGTTCCCCCTCCCCCCTTTTGCCCTCTGTTGCCTCTGCTGCTGCGGCCGACCTCGTTGGGCTTGAGTCGGTCGGTGCGGCGTCTACCCCTAGCGGGAGACGTCGCCCTGGCAAGGGCAAGGGGGGCAGGGGCACTGGAGGAGCTAGCGGGGGCGGTGGAGGCGGAGGTGGAGGCGGTGGAGGGGGTGGGGGTGGAGGTGGGGGTGGTGGCGGGGGTGGAGGTGTCGGTGGCGGCAGTGGAGGCGGAGGCGGAGGCGGCGGTGGCGGTGGGAGCGGAGGTGGCGGCGGTGGAGGAGGAGGCGGCGGAGGAGGTGGAGCTGGTCGGGGTGGCGCTGCGCAGAGGGTCGGCTCCGGTGGTGGTCAGCGCCAGCAGCAGCAGCAGCAGCGCACTCATGACATCCCCTCCCCTCAGCAGCTCCGTGAGTGGTACACTGCACGCCAGAGGGGTGGGGGTACTGGTCCGTGCACCTACGTCCTCCGCACCGGCGACCGCGCGGGTGACCAGTGCGGGGGTGCGCACTCCACCCAGCGCTGCTTTGGCCGCCTGACGGACGCTTGGCGTCACCAGTTCCCTGAGGCCACTGAGATCCCCCGCTGGGGTGAGCTGTCTAGGGCGGGTGTAGCTGTCTTTGACCTTGACTTTGATGCTATTCTTGCTGCCATGTATACTGTGACTATTAGTGATGAGGGTGACTGTTACCGGTGTTTTCCGCCTGACCCGGGCATTGAGACTGCTGCTCTAGGTACTGGTGAGGCTGCTGCTCTAGGTGCTAGCGAGGCTGCTGCTCTAGGTGCGTCTGCTCCCTCAGGTGCTGGTGAGTCTGCTCTCTCAGGTTCTGCGTCGGCTTCGGCCTCCCACACCTTCACCCTTGACTCGGGGGCTTCTCGCTCCTTCTTTCGAGACCGCACCACACTCACGCCACTTGGCCGGCCAGTTGCGGTCTCTCTGGCAGACCCCTCTGGGGGTCCTGTCCTTGCTCACTTCTCCACTGTCCTCCCGTGTCCGGCGGCCCCCTCTGGCACCCTGTCTGGTCTTTACCTCCCCTCGTTCTCTACGAACTTGGTGAGTGGTGCTGACCTACAGGATGCGGGGGTTCACCAGTTCACTCCTGCGAGTCAGCGGGTGACCCGCTGCACGGACGCTCGGACTGGCCGACACCTGGCCACGTTTACCCGTCGGCCGGGGTCGAGCCTGTACACCCTGACCACTGCGTCTCCTCCAGTCACTGCGTCTGGTCAGGTAGCTGCGTCGGGTCAGGTGTTTGCTGCAGCGTCCAGGTCTGGTCCTGAGTCTGCCCCCTGTTCGTGTCGCCTCCTGTCTCACGAGACTCTCCTCTGGCACCACCGCCTTGGTCACCCCTCCCTGCTTCGTCTCCGAGGCATGGCCTCCCGTGTCCTTGTCTCTGGTCTTCCCCGGTCCCTCCCTCCCCTTCCTCCGGGGCCTGGCCCTACCTGCGTCCCCTGTGTCGAGGGGCGGCAGCGGGCTGCCCCTCACTCCTCCCAGTTTCCTCCGACAGAGGCCCCGCTGCAGACGCTTCACATGGACGTGTGGGGCCCGGCCCGCGTCCGTGGACAGGGTCACGAGCGCTACTTCCTGCTGGTGGTTGACGACTACTCGCGTTACACCACAGTCTTCCCCTTGCGCAGCAAGGGTGATGTTACTGAGGTGTTGATCGACTGGATCCGCGCAGCTCGTCTCCAGCTCAGGCAGAGCTTCGGCTCGGACTTTCCTGTTCTGCGTCTGCACTCTGACAGAGGTGGAGAGTTCTCCTCTGGCCTTCTGCGAGCCTACTGTCGTGCACGAGGCATCCGCCAGACCTTCACGCTTCCGGACTCTCCACAGCAAAATGGGATTGCTGAGCGCCGCATTGGCATGGTCATGGACGTCGCCCGTACGTCCATGATGCATGCGGCTGCCCCCCATTTTCTGTGGCCGTTTGCGGTTCGGTACGCGGCGCATCAGATCAACCTTCACCCCAGGGTCTCCATGCCGGAGACCTCCCCAGCCTTGCTGTGGACGGGGAAGGTTGGCGATGCGTCTGCGTTCCGTGTCTGGGGATCTCGGGCGTTTGTCCGCGACTTGTCTGCGGACAAGCTGTCCCCTCGTGCTGCTTCTTGCGTCTTCCTTGGCTTCCCCCCTGACGCGCCAGGGTGGCAGTTCTACCACCCCACCTCTCGCCGTGTTCTGTCCTCCCAGGACGTCACGTTTGACGAGTCGGTCCCCTACTACCGCCTCTTCCCCTACCGCACTCCGTCCCTCCCCCCGCCACCGCTCTTCCTTGTACCAGGTCCCCCCCCCGGTAGACCCCCTCCCCCCTCAGGGTCCTGCCCCTTCAGGTGTGTCCCAGGTAGACGCAGTCGAGCCTGTCGAGGTTACTGGTGACTCTGGTGCTGCTGAGGGTGCTGAGCCTGGGGGTGCTGACTCTGGGGGTGCTGAGCGTGTGGGTGCTACGCCTGGGGGTGCTGAGCCTGAGGGTGCTACTACTGGGGGTCCTGAGCCTGGGGGTGCTGAGCCTGGGGGTGCTACTACTGGGGGTGCTGAGCCTGGGGGTGCTGAGCCTGGGGGTGCTACGCCTGGGGGTGCTGAGCCTGGGGGTGCCACGCCTGGAGGTGCTGAGCTTGGGGGTGCGGAGCCTGAGGGAGCTGGGCCTGCTCGTGTGGCGTCTGGCGGTGC